GACAATACACAGATTTATATTCTACTGCCCCAGAGGGCAGAACTAAAATCAGTGGGTTAAAACTACAAGGAAGTAGGTTCAAGCTAGATGTCAAGAGGAACAATCAACCAGTAGAATGGATTGCCACATGAAATGGTGAGTTTTAATTTGCTGGAGGTCTTCAAACCTCCAGACAGTCAGTCAGAGTTGCTCTAGTGGATCCTGCTCTGAATAGCAGGTTGGACTAGATGACCTTTAAGATAATTTCCAACTCAGGGAGGGAGGGAGGTCTCAGTCTCTTTGTAATGCCATCCTGCCTCTCTGGACTTAAAACATATATTCATGTGAAATGGATGGATAGGAAGAACTACATGGAATGTTTTTCCTTGTAGCTGGGGTTAAGAATTCCTGCTATCTTCCAGACCTATGTAAGTAAAATCATCAAACCTTTTCTCCCAGAAACCACCTGGAAGAAGGTTAGTAGTGTGTGCGCCTTCAAGTCAGTCTTGATTCCTGACAACTGTGTGGATGAATCCATTTTCCTTGGCAAGGTTTTTTAGAAGTGGTTTGCTATTGCCTACTTCCTGGGGTTGAAAGTGACTGACCCAAGGTCACTCAGCTGGTTTTGTGCCTAAGGCAGGACTAGAACTCATGGATCTCCTAGTTTCTAGCATGATCCCTTCACCACTACACCAACCTGGCTCATCTTACCTTGTCAAAAAGTCCATATTCACAGATAAGCTGCTCTCGGGCTTTGGTGTTTATAGCTATTGTAAACCGTACATGAGGTATCAGGAGCTAAAAAGCAGAAGAAAAAATAGATTAGAATGAAAAGCTTTTTATAACTTTCTAAATATCATAGTAAGAGTTAGAAAGGGCTATGTCATGAGCAGGGCTGAGCCTGTAAACTGGAAGGCTGGAGCTCTCAAACCTTTTCTCCCAGAAACCATCTGGAAGAAAGTTAATAGCTTGGTAGTTCCCACTGCCAACCATCTATCTTCCAAGAGGGTATTGTTTGGTGTTCTTCTGGTTAATCTCTGATGTGTGTGACACAGAAGGCTCACAAATCCTGCTGCCTTTCTAGTGAGTAAAAAAGGTAAAAAAAAAAAAAATGAAATAATTGCTTACCACCTACTTCAGAGCCTGTTGATAACAGATACAAAAAAATTGATATCACATTTCCTTCTATGTAGTTATTTATCAATTTTCTAACTAAAAGTTACACAAAAGTAATACAGCCAATACTGTACTTCTCTTCTTCCCTTCTGTCTTTTCCATTTTACATATCTGGCATTTTTAAAAACAGACTTAAGTAGCACTCCCTCCTCCATTTTTTCCACACAGTTGTGAAAGGTACAATGGGCCCAAAGTCACCTAGTGAGCTTCCATGGCTGAGGACTGATAAAATTGGCATTGCACATACCAGTTTATATGTACGTGTAAAAACCCATTTCCCTTATATTGTCATCCAGCAAAAAGACTCTGCTGACTAGCAATAGCCACTTGCCTTTCAAGAACCTCAGAGAGAAATTATTGGGAAAGATCATAGAGCATTTATTTATTTATAGATGAATGAATCCATTTGTATACCACCAACTTCAGGCACCTTAAGTTGTTACAGTAAGCTCCGAGTTTCCATCTTATTTTAACTGTTTGATCCCAATTACAATTAAATGTTGGAGGTGCAACGTGTAGTAAGCAAACTCAATCCATGTTTTGGAAAGCAATCAAATATTTTATTTAGAATATTTTACAAATCAGATAAACGATTTCTGCTTAATGAGGTTCTCTTAATGATATAAAATTATAAAGCATCTAATAAAGAAAATATTAATATATCAATTAATCACATGCTGCTAAAAAGACAAATTAAATTGCACTAAGATTACATAACATTTGCCTACCTACTCCTAGTAGAGAAGCTAAGCGATAAAATGTTATTGAGGAGAGGAGAGGAGAGGAGAGGAGAGGAGAGGAGAGGAGAGATCTCCAGCACCAATGCCCAAAACTCAGTCTTGGATCCATGTCAGGCGGCCATAGAAGGACTCAATCCACTTACATGGAGAGACGGCCCCCATGGCGTCTGCCAAATATAGTAAGGCCAGAGTACCCTGACTGTACTGACTATCACAGTGTGTATACATCCCCTCAAGTGATAACAGTTAAAAATGCAGAATAAATTTGTCAGAACCTGCAGCAATCAAAGTATATATCATCTAGAGGACTGTTTTATTAGTATAGTAAATGGCATTTGTATACTTTGATTATAGGGAATGTTTTCCTAGCTTGCTTTGATTCTGCCATTCTCATTGGGGGGGGGGGGGGGGGAAAGAAGAA